AACCGAGGGAAGAGGCTGAGGTTCACACGTGGGCTGGAGAATTGAAGGGGAAGTTGCGCCCCTACCCTTCCTCTTATGTCTAAGGGTCCCACTGGGTGACATGGCAGAATGAGACCCAGGGAAGGCTGGAGGGCATAGGGACCATGGCCAGGCCATGCGACCACCTCTCTGCCTCCAAAAACTCTTTAACAGTCAATTGGTGACTTCTGCTTCTTGCCCTGATAGAGTAACAGGGAACAGATTTACACATCCTGCCTTAAACTAGAGAAATAGACATAATTTATGAAAATGAAACAAGGATTTTTCAGGCATTGGAAAGCAGTTAGTGCAGGACTGTGATTCCTGAGAGATGGGGAAGTAGAGCGAGCCCTACAATTGCCCTAGCTTACTGCCCCGAGTTTCCAGGTTGCACAGCAGGGCAGGGGAAGTCAGACTTGCACTCTTGCAGATTGAGGTGATAAAGTTCAGATCATGGGGAGGTCAAGGTGGCTAACATTTGTGGGGCAGAGTCCCAGAGAGGAGGAAACTGCACAAAAAGAGAGCTCTGAGATCTGCAGAAGGCACCCCTCAAGTCTTTGGCCAAGCGCTTATCTGTGTATAGTGTTTATATGTGAGAGGAAATGAAAAGAATCACTGGAAAGTAGTAGACCAGAAAGTACTCAGAGCTCACACAGGGCTGGGAGTGATAAGTGTTCTCCCTAGCTAGGGTGGAAAGACGTCATAATACTCAAAGCTCTGGGTGGAGGCCTCAGAAGGGTGTCACTTTGCTAGTGGAGCTAAATTAGCCCTATGCTAAACACTGTTCTAGACCCCTCCTAACAAAATTAAAAGCAATCCTTGAAAGGATCTACCTGTTTCCAAAAGACTTATTGTAAGACAGAACAAAGTTAATCTCCATTCAAAGAAATACAATAAAATCCAGCAACCAACAATGTAGAATTCTCAAAGGAAAATTACAAACATGCACAGAAGCAGAAAAACATGATCCACAACCAGGAGAAAAATCAATCAATAGAAACAAACCCAGAAATGACAGAGATGATGGAACTAGCAGACAAGGACATAAAAACAGCAATTACAAATATGGTCTATATGTTCAAGAAGCTAGAAGAAAACATAAACCTGATGAAGAGATATTTTAAAAAGAAACCAAGTAGAACTTCTAGAGATGGGAAATACAATCTCTAAAATGAAAAATACACTGTATGGGATTAATAGCAGATTCAGCATTGCAGAAGAAAAGATTAGTGAACTTGAAGACATAGCTATAGAAATTATCAAAAATGAAACACAAAGAAAAAAAGAAAGAAAGACTGATCTGTGGCCCAAAGATGGGAAATACAATCTCTAAAATGAAAAATACACTGTATGGGATTAATAGCAGATTCAGCCTTGCAGAAGAAAAGATTAGTGAACTTGAAGACATAGCTATAGGAATTATCAAAAATGAAACACAAAGAAAAAAAGAAAGAAAGACTGATCTGTGTCCCAGAACACAAAGAAAAAAAGAAAGAAAGACTGATCTGTGGCCCAATATTAAACAGTGTTACGTGTGTATAATTGGAGTCCCAGAAAGAAGAGGACAGACAAATATTTGAAGAAATAATAGCCAATCTTTTTCTAAGTTTGACAAAAACTGTAAGCTTACAGATCCAAGAAGCTCAATGAACTACAAGCATCAGGAATATGAATAAAACTACACCAAGGCACATCATAATCAAATTAAAACCAGTGAGAAAGTGAAAATGTTACAAGTAGAAAGACTTAAAACAAGTGACAGTGAAAATCTTTAGGTAGAAGGAGGAAAAAAAGACACCACATGTAGAGGAGCGAAGATAAGAATTACAGCAGATTTTTCATTGGAAAGGTAAAAACCAGATGACAGTGGAACAACATCTCTTTTAAGTACTAAAAGAAGAAAAATCTAAATTTCTCAATCTAAAATTGTCAATCTAACATTATATACTCAGCAAAAATCTTTCAAAAATGAAACAAAGTAAAAGCTTTTTCAGATAACACAAAAGCTGAGATGACTTATTTTTGGAAGATTTGCACTAAAAGAAATGTTGAGGGAAGTTCTGCAGAATGAAGAGAAATACTGCCAAATGGAAATTTGGATCTTCCCAAAGGAATGGAGAGTGGTGGGAATGATAAATATACNAGAAGCTAGAAGAAAACATAAACCTGATGAAGAGATATTTTAAAAAGAAACCAAGTAGAACTTCTAGAGATGGGAAATACAATCTCTAAAATGAAAAATACACTGTATGGGATTAATAGCAGATTCAGCATTGCAGAAGAAAAGATTAGTGAACTTGAAGACATAGCTATAGAAATTATCAAAAATGAAACACAAAGAAAAAAAGAAAGAAAGACTGATCTGTGGCCCAATATTAAACAGTGTTACGTGTGTATAATTGGAGTCCCAGAAAGAAGAGGACAGACAAATATTTGAAGAAATAATAGCCAATCTTTTTCTAAGTTTGACAAAAACTGTAAGCTTACAGATCCAAGAAGCTCAATGAACTACAAGCATCAGGAATATGAATAAAACTACACCAAGGCACATCATAATCAAATTAAAACCAGTGAGAAAGTGAAAATGTTACAAGTAGAAAGACTTAAAACAAGTGACAGTGAAAATCTTTAGGTAGAAGGAGGAAAAAAAGACACCACATGTAGAGGAGCGAAGATAAGAATTACAGCAGATTTTTCATTGGAAAGGTAAAAACCAGATGACAGTGGAACAACATCTCTTTTAAGTACTAAAAGAAGAAAAATCTAAATTTCTCAATCTAAAATTGTCAATCTAACATTATATACTCAGCAAAAATCTTTCAAAAATGAAACAAAGTAAAAGCTTTTTCAGATAACACAAAAGCTGAGATAACTTATTTTTGGAAGATTTGCACTAAAAGAAATGTTGAGGGAAGTTCTGCAGAATGAAGAGAAATAATGCCAAATGGAAATTTGGATCTTCCCAAAGGAATGGAGAGTGGTGGGAATGATAAATATACAAGTAAATAGAAAATAAATTTACTTTTCATTTTAAGAATGCCTTGAAAGTAAACTGACTAAACAAAAATAATAGCATGAGACATAATATGTTGGAGTAAGGTATAATATATGATTTTGAGAACACAAAGGATAAGGGAGGGGAATGAAAGTATACTGTTATGAGTCTCTTATATTATAAGTATAGGGTATAATATCATTCAAAAGTAGACTATATTACATTAAATATGTGTTATGTAAAACTAGGGCCACCACAAATGAAAAGATACATCTAATATACTAATCAATAGGGGGATAAAATGGAATCATAAAATATACTCAATTAACCAGCAAAACAAAGTCCAAAAAGAGGAAAAAAGAAAGAGCAAGATGGTAGACTTAAACCTAGCCATATTAATAATTACATTAAATGTAAGTGGCCTAAGCATTCCATGAAAAGACAGAGATTTCCAGATCAGATTTAAAAATAGAAGCTCTTACTTCTGTTTAAAATATAAAAATATAAAAGACACTGTATGATAAAAGAAAAATGATGGGAAAAGATACGTCATGCAGCCACCAACTAAAAGAAAGCTGGAGTGGGTATGTTAATATCAGATGAAGTAGACTTCAGAACAAGGAATAAGACCGACTAAGAATAAAGAGGGACATTAATAATATTAAAGAAGACATAATTATCCTAAAAATGTATGCACTAGTAACAGAGAATTAAAATACATGGAGAAAAAGCTGGTAGAACTGTGTAGGTGACTACATGGTTCTAATAGGAGACTTCAATACCCTTCTCTAGATAATTGACAGGCCAAGTAGAAAATCAGTAGTCTATAGAAAACTTGAATGACACAATCAACCAAATTAACCTAATAGGCATTTAAAGAACGTACTACCCAAGAACAGCAAAATGCATATTCATTTCAGCTAGAAAGTGGCAGAGTAGGATTCAAGCCAGGTGTGTCTAACTTCATAGCCATTTTCCTTCAATCCGGCGCAGTCTCTCAGATATGCTGCCATAGGGAGAGGAAAGCTCAGTGGATGTGGAAAGAGAAAAGCAAACATGTTAGGTGGGAGCCAGCAGGGGCAGTCAAATGAATCACACAGGCAGCCCTGGCTTCACAACCTGGTTCTGCCACCTCAGTGGGTGTGCGTGCACACGTGTGTGTGGATGGGGGGCATTCTCTTATATTATCTTTTATAGGTTTTTTGTTTTGTTTTATGAAAATTTCTGTCTCAAAATAGCACAAAAGGAGACTGAGGGTGTTAACCTGTCTGAGATTACATACTGGGTTTTTTTTTTCCTTTTTGTCTTTTTTACTGACCGGTAACGGGATCGCAACCCTCGGTGTCTCGCCCGTACCGGGGACTGGCACCGGGATCGCAACCCTTGGTGTTGCACCCGCACCGCGCTCAGCCAGTGAGCAGTAACCGGTCTCCACATGGGATCCGAACCGTCGGTGGGAGCGCCACCGTGCTCCCAAGCGGCACACTCTCCAGTGCGCCACCGGGCCAGCCCGCATACTGGGTTTTTATCAAGTACGTTTTTTAATTGAATCAGCATCCAGTCTAGGTCTCCTGGTTCTGCCCCCATAGCCAAACCTTCTCATGCCTCTGAGCCTTTTCCTGTGTATTCCTCTGTCTCAAATGCCCTTTTCTCTTTTGTTTTCTGGCAGGGTCCTACTCATCCCTCAAAGCCCAGCTCTGGAGTTGCCCCCCAGGGAAGCCCTCCACAACCCCCTGGTCTTCCCATATTATATACATCCCTCTGATTGCATTCTCAGATGCTGTACTATCATTTTTATTATTTTGGCCTGTCCTTTGGCCACCAGACTTCCTAATTCCTGGGGGCTGAGGCTGCATCTCTCTCTACGTGTACGGCTCCTCGGTCCTGTGTTTTCACAGGGGTGTGTAGAGGACCAGAGCCTTGTACTTTTCGTGATCATCCATCAAGCCCAGGTAAAAAACCATTGCTTTCTTGTCTCTCCACTCAGCCTCAAAGACAAAAATCAAGGCGAACTCATCCCGCCTGTGCTGAGGTTCACAGTGACGTACCTGCAAGAGAAAGGTGAGAGAGAGCCAGCTCCAGCCAGCAGATGTGAGGGCTGCGGGGTGTACCTCCCTTGGGGGTCCGTCTTGGATCCTGAGCACCCCACAGGCCAGGGAATTAGAGGAGTTGGACCTGTCCAGGGGAAGTGACCAGGATGGGAGGGGCTTAAGCACAGTGGCTCCAGTCTTAGGCTCTGGCCTCAGATGGTCTGGGTTTGAATCCTGGCTCCCCTGTGTACTAGCTGTGTGACCTCGGGCCAGTTACTTACTTTCTCTGGTTCTTTGTTACCTTGTCTGTCCAGTGGAGTTGATGTGCCTGCCTCACAGGGTTGTTGGAAGGCCTAAATGAGATGATGTGTGTAAAGCACTTCAAACAGTGCTAGTCGGTAGGAAGCCCTCCATAAATGGTAGTTCCTTTGACATAATAAACTTTGGTTTGCAGATGTCATTGCCAGCGGGGTCGGTGCGGTCAGGGACTTGGAGAGCGGTTAGCCTTGTGGCCCCTCCAAGAATCCTGAGGCCAGAACTCAGATCCCCAGGGCAGGTGAGTGGAGGCTTCCTTAATGGGAAGAAGATTGTTCCCTTGGAGGAGCAGGCTACAGGTGCAGGTGTGCTGGCAAGGCTGGGGGTGCAGGCAGGACACTGCAGAGTGGATGTGTGTGCGTCGGAGGAGCAGCGAGAACCACTGCTGCTGGGGCCCTGGCAGTCTGGTACCTGGCATGCCTGAGGGATGGCACTTCTCTAACTGTGGATCTGATTGTCATTTTGAGCTGGCCCTGCTTTGACCAGATGTCATTTGTAGTGTTTCTCATTCTGTTGTGTATTTCAGATAGTTCATGAAGACTACAAATCAGAAATTGTGAGAGGGAGTCTCTCTTTTAACTTGTCAATTCCTTTATTATTAAAACAAAACAAAACAGCCCACAGTGGAACTCGTATATGTGTTGACCAAATATGTTAATTAAACATCTAGTCATTGGGATCCCCGTGGATCCGGCCCTGGTCCAGGCGCTGGGGTTGCCACGGTCACCACGCACACAGTCTCTGCTTCTGGGAGCTCACAGTCCGGTACCGAGAGATTTTCTTCACTATGTTTTTCTCTGTAAAGCTGCTGTGACAACACATATCTCACCTGGACAGGGAGAAGCCAGTCACAGACACTAGGGAGGCTTGAGTCTGACACATGGCTGGGAGGCTGCTGTGTTGGTTTCCTTTGCCACATAACAAATTACCACAAACTTAGCAGCTTGGAACACAAAATTTATGATCTCATCATAGTTTCTGTAGGTTGGAACTCTGGGCACACTGGGCCTGGGTCCTCTGCTCAGGGTCTTGCAGGCTGAACTCAAAGCATTGGCCCGGCTGAGTTCCTTTCTGGAGGCTCTGGGAAGGAATCCACTTCCAGTCTTGTTCAGATAGGTGCCAAATGCACTTCTTTGTGGCCGTAGCTGTGAGGTGCCTGCATCCCTGCTGGCTGTCAGCCGGGGGTCTGGCTCAGCCACGAGAGGCTGCCCCTCTCCTTGCCATGTGGCCCCTGCACTTGTCACGTGGAATCCCTGCCCTGAGCTTCACCTCTCTTGCGGCCCTGATTCCTGGCTCCTGGCATAGACTCACACCTGGAATTCTACCAGACGTTCCATCTAACACTAACCTAGGAACTTCGTGAGTCAGGTCCAAGCCAGTTGACCTTAAGATAGGAGATGACCTTGGTGGGCCTGACTTAACCAGGTGAGTTTTACAAGGGACCAGGTTCTTCCAGGCTCGTGGCCTTCCTCTGTAGATGAACAAGGCACTGAGGCTCAGAGAGGTTGAGTGCTTTCTCCGAGGTCACACAGCTGGTAGGAGGCAGAGCTGGACCACTTCAGTGTCTGTCACTTTCCACTCTCCCTTTCCAGGGGCCATGGAGGTGGGAAATGAGGTGGGGTTGGAGAATATGGAAGGGATTTAAGAGGAATAAAACAGTGGGGCTGAGGGATGGTTGGGGGAAATACCGGAGCCTGGCTGGAGAGCTTTCCCTACCAGCCACAGGAGGGTGATGCCACAGGCAGGAGGAGGGGTCACAGGATGTTCTGGAAGCTCCATGTGCGGGGACCTGTGAGATGCCTGGAACTCTTCTCCCTGCAGGACTCCGCACCGAGGGTCTGTTCCGGAGATCAGCCAGCATCCAGACCGTCCGCGCGATCCGGAGGCTGTACAACCAAGGTGAGCCTGCTTCCAGAGACCCTCACCCTGAGCCTCCCACCCGGCCAAGGAACGCAGCCCTCAGGGCCTCAGAGCCCCATTATTGGAGGCAGCACAACTCTCCCAGCCCCAGCCCCTAGAAGCAGCTCAGGGCAGAGGCAGCCAGCCAGGAGTCCCCTGTAGTCTAGAGCGGGGCCCTTGGCCCAGACCCCCAGCGTTGCTGGGGCAAGGTGGCCACACGATGCCATTTCGCCTTTAGGGTTCCTCTCCTTACACCAGGGGTAACACTCTGGAAGGTCGGGAAATTGTTTGGTGGGGTCTTCATTAAGCGACTCCCCGCCAGCCAGCTCAGCACAACTTCCTTAACTGCCCTGTGTAAACCTGCGGGTAGGAAGAAATGGCCTGTGAGCCGAGGACATGTCGCGGTGACACTAATACAGTGGCTGTCTTGCTTACGAGACTTGCCCTCTGCCCCCTCGTCATTCCCAGGACCATGGTCATTCATCAGATGTCACTGCCTGCACAGTGCTGAGCTCGGACACCCAGCAGCCGGCCTGTCCCAGCCTATGTGTGGCAGCGTCCCGCATGCTGGACACTGACAGATGACAAGAGCTGAGGCCCTGCCCTCAGAGAACTCACATCCTAGTTGGGGGCAAAGCCACACTGCAAAGAAATCAATAGCCCACTGCAGCCTCCACGGTGCCCTGGAGGAGGCAGTGAGGGTGGGAGCTGGTGGGGCAAGAGCACCCCATTTCCAGGTGGGGACAGAGCTGTCCCCAGGAGCAGTGGCTCCAGCGTGAGGCAGCAGGAGTTCTCGGGCTGTTCTGCGTCAGAGCCTCTTTTGCAGCAGCGGTCCCCAGGCCGAGTCCAGAACTCAGCTGTGCCATGCTCTGTGTGCAGGGAAGCCTGTGAACTTCGACAGCTATGGGGACATTCACGTCCCTGCCGTGATCCTGAAGACCTTCCTGCGAGAGCTGCCCCAACCACTGCTGACCTTCGAGGCCTATGAGCAGATTCTCGGGATCACTAGTATGTACCCACCCCAGGGGGCCCCAGGGCCTCAGCTGTCATCCCCGTCTGTTAGTCCAGGGTCAGGCTCAGAGGTGGCTGGGGTGGTGCCTGCCCAGCCTTATCCTGTTGCCATCTGGACTGTGGGGCAGGAGAGAGGGGCCTTTGGCGCTGCCTCCACGATGCAGGGAGGTCCCAGACCCCTGCTGGCCACAGCCAGGCAACACTATCCACGAGTGGAGGTGTGGGGTCGGGAGTTACCCTGGCTGGTCTCTCAGGTACAGCTGGAGGGTGGGACACCACTTTCCCCAGGGTGGCATTTGTGGTGCTGAGAATCATAAACAGGTAACGTTAGTCTAGAGCAGGGGTTGGCAAGCATTTTCTGTAAAGGGCCAGATAGTAAATATTCTAGGCTTGTGAGCCATAAAGCTACTCACCTCTACGTTACAACACAAAAGCAGCCATAGACGGTGTGTGAATGATGGCTGTGGCTGTATTCCAATAAAACTTTATTGACAAAAGCAGGCCATGGGCCGGATTTGGCCTATGGGTGGTGGTTTGCCGACCCCTGGTCTAGGCCATTCCAATTTCTAAAGTGATTCGGGTTTACCGGCTTCCTGGGAGATAGTTGCTGTGCCCATTGTAAAGAAGAAAATGGAGCTGGCAGAGGTAGAGGGTTTGCTGAGAACAGCCACGGGGCCGGGAAGTAGGTGGAGACTCCAGGCCCAACCCTGGGACAGTCCCTCCTCCTGGGGAAGGACTTGGTGCTGCTATCGGCTCCTCTGGAGCCAGCTCAGGAAGGAGCCTCGTGCCGTTGCAGGTGTGGAGAGCAGCCTGCGGGTGACCCGCTGCCGCCAGATCCTGCAGAGCCTCCCGGAGCACAACTACGCCGTCCTCAGCTACCTCATGGGCTTCCTGCACATGGTGAGCGGGCAGAGCATGCTCAGGGGGAGGCCGGCTCTGTGCCTGGCGCTGGCGTCCTGTCCCCCCACACCGATGCCGCCCAGACCAGCCCCCTGCTTGCCTCGGTCTGGAGCACCACTCTCTGTCTGAAAAAGGACTTCATCCAAGGCCCAGCCAGGCGACAGCTTTGCTAAGAAACCCTCCCTGCCTGCCGGGCAGGGTCAGCCGAGCCCCTGCCCACCGCTGTGCCTGGCCACCCCTTGGTTGTTGCCAGCGACCTCCCGTACTGGGGTCCTCTGTGGGAGGTGGGGGCTGTGTCCCACGCCCGGGGCATGGGGCCTGATGCACAGTCAGCCCTCACTGTGGACTGAGCAGAGGATTCCTGTCACCAAGTAGATGAGGTTCCTGTGACTACTGTAACAAAAGGCCACAGACTGGGTGTCTTAAAATGACAGAAATCTGTCATCTCACTGTTCTGGAGGCCAGAAGTCCAAAATCAAGGTGTCGCAGGGCCACGCTCCCTCCAGAGGCTCTGGGGAGGATCCTTTCTGCCTCTCCAGCTAGCTCCTGGTGGCTCCTGGTGGCTGCATCTACACATGGCCTCCTCCCCTGTGTGACTCTGTATCTCAAATCTTCCTTGTCTTTTCTCTCATGAGGACACTAGTCATTGGATTTAGGGCCCACCCGGTAATCCAGGACGATCTCATCTTGAGATCCTCAATATAGTGACATCAGCAGAGTCTCTTCTTCCAAGTGAGGTCACACTCGTAGATTCTGGGTGGACCTGTCTCTCGCAGAGCCGCCATTCAACCCACTACAGTGGGATGAGAGAGGACAGCCAGGAAATACCTTCTGCTGCTCTGGGTCTGGCCTCAGCTGCCTGGCTCCGGGGCAGAGGTGCCTTCGGAGCAGCAGCCTGTGAGGTCAACGGGGGACCCTCAACACACCCAGACGTGTCCTCCCGTCACCCCCAGGCCCACGATCCTCTGCTGTACAGCCGCTTCCAATCCCATCTCTCCGGGCCCTTTGCCTGGGGCTTCGGGGCATGAGAAGCTGTGCCTGGGGTGGGCTCCCAGCCCTGCGGTGCAGAGCCCAGAGCGTCTGTCTGACCGTCCTGCAGCGGGAGTGACGCCATATTGGAGGCTTGGCTGGGGTCTTCAGGGCCTCCTGCGGGAACCCCGCTCTGTGGCAAGTGGCCTGAGGGTGTGATGACCAGACAGAAGGGGGAGGGGAGAGGGTGCAGGTAGAGCAGGTGTCACGCACGAGAGTCCATCAGATAAAACGTCACCTCTTGGTTTTAAAACGATCTATTTCATTCTCCCTTTCCATCACTGGATATAATTTCTCAGAGGCCCCAAACTAACACCTGCTCTCCTAACCCTCTTCTTTCCTCTGATTTTTCATTCGCAGGACACACTGACTGCTCTGGCCTCCTCCCAGGGCACCGACGTTATTACGTCTGGTGGGACTCGGGGTTGCCTGTGTTGGCCCAGCAGCGCCCGGGGCCGCCGTGCAGCTCAGGGAGGGAGGTCCACGGCTCACTAGGCTTGCACTCACCCAGAGGGGACTGGGGGCTGGCAGGCGGGGGGCTGCTGGCAGGGCACCCCACTGTCTCACTGAGGCAGGGCTTGAGGGTGTCTGCTGTCCTTGCGTGCTGTGCCCCGCTCCAGCTCTCTGTTCTCTCGTATCTGATTCTCTCGGGTGCCCCCGGCTTGCATCTTGTAGGAAGGCAAGAAGAAGAGGACAGGCCCAGCCCTCGGATGGGGCTGCGTGGCCCCTGCCACTGACTGGCCACGTGACCTTGGCCAGGTCTCCTGTACCTCAGTTTCCTCTTCTGGAAAGTGATGAGTCATGAATTCCACTTCTTGGGGTTGCTGTAAGCATTGGCCAAGACAAGCAGGGAGCCCCTTTGTGGTGGCAAGCCATTACACTCTGTCCCTGTGAGCCCCACCTGCCGCTGGTCTTGACTGTGCCCAGTTCAATTAGCGTGGAGGTCAGAGAGGTCGTCCGGCTGTGTCTGCTGTGCTAGAGGTCCCCTCCCAGAGTGGGCCTCGCTCGTCCACTGGAGTGGAAGAGGCGGCAGCGGTGCTGAGGAGATCCCAGAAGGTCAGAGCCAGAGGGTCCCCAGGGCATCCACACCAATTCCCTCCTATACAGATGGGGAAACCGAGGCCCCGAGCAGGGAGATGAATGCAGGAGGTCACAGTTACCTGCTGGCGGCTCCCAGTTCAGTGCTCTTCTCACAGCACAGACCCCTCCCCAGGTTTTGGAGGGGATTCCAGCCACTGCTGCCCTCGGGTCCACCCCCTGTCTCGTGTGTGGTCTCTTCCAGGTGTCCCGGGAGAGCATTTATAACAAAATGAACAGCTCCAACCTGGCCTGTGTCTTCGGGCTGAATTTGATCTGGCCGTCCCAGGGGGCGTCCTCCCTGAGTGCCCTTGTGCCCCTGAACCTGTTCACCGAACTGCTGATCGAGTACTACGAGAAGGTCTTCAGCCCCCGGGGGGCACCAGGGTAGCACGAGCCAGGCGGCCCTGTGGGCAGAAGACGTGCCGCAGGCCTCCGCGTGCTGCCCCTGACAGCGACCAGCAGGCCACCCTCGTGCTGGAAACGTCCCACTAAAGTCTGTGCGTCTGTGCACTTGTGTGTTTTATAAACTTGCCATCTGTGAAAATAACCAGGCATTAAATGAACTCAGAACTTTGTAGTGAAAATTCTATTGTTTTGATTCTCGGGCCCCTCACTGTTGTTCCTTAGCTGTGGACTGGGATAAAATGACGTATCTGTTAGGGCGATTCTTTTGAGTCATGACCCATTGAGGCTTAGCTGAAAAGGGGAATGTATTGGCTAAGGCCTTGGACCCGTCACCTCCTGCTGCTGCAGCGCCATGTGACAAACCACCCAAACCCAGCCCTGAACACGGCAGCTGTTCGTTATTGCCCACGAGTCAGTGCGTCAGCTGGGCGGGTCTTCGGGTCTTCGGGTCTTCTTGGGGGCCCGCTCACATGTCCAGGCTGGGCTGGCCATCAGCTCAGGAGATTCATATCCTCCTAGCAGCCTAAATGGGGCACATTCTCACGACACGGCAGAGGTCCATGCACAAGGGCTGGCACAGGACATCCTCTGGCTTTGGCCAAGCCCAGTGTCACAGTGGGAGGGCCCTGAAAGGTATCCAGTAAAGGGGTGGATATGGGGAGAGGGGAGAACTGGTCATAACGCAGTCAGCCTGCCAGAGGGCTCTAGGACGGGTTAGGGTCTCAGCCAGGCTCTGACCCCTCGGGGCTGCAAGCTGGGCTGTGTGTTTCCATCAGGTACAGTGGCGAAGGTTAAGTCTTGTTTCCACATTTCCAGCCTAAAGTCCCCAGATTTGTCCTGATTGGACATGTTTAGGTTACGTGCCCACAGGACCAACCACTGCAGCAGGCCTGAGACGTGCCCCGTCCCTGGACTGGAATGAAGCCTCACCCAGACCTGGCAGGGGCGGGGGGGGGGGTACAAGCACCAGGCTGCCCCCTGCACAGGGTCAGCACAAATCACACACTGCAGGAGAAGGCAAAGGGTGCTGGGGAGCTGAGGACGAACATCCACTGTGGACACCCGGTGGTCAGCCTCTCCATGCCTAGGATGAGGTGTTGACCCCACCTGTGCAGTGACCCCAGGTGGCCATTTGGACCCTTGTGGTCACCCACTGCTCTAGGCTAAGCCCAGGGCTCTGCTCTGGACCTTGGAGGGTGGGGGCCCCTCCTCACCTCCCCCCCTCACATATTCACATTATTAATCCCCCTCCCGATCTACTGGTTGTGTTTTCTACCCTGCTTGTGTTCGCTGTCTTTAAGGGGGAACCGTGTGGCACCTCGCACTTGAGGACACATCAGATCTGCGAGCAGGAGAGTTTTCTCCTTTCTCCTGAGCCATCCTCCAATACTGATTCCGTCCCGTGTCCACATCTCGGCACAGCAGCTCTGAGGCCTGGCCATTTGGTTATTAAGGACACTGTAGTGGATTGAATTGTGTCCCCCCAAAACTCCCTGAAGCTTGAATTGTGTCCCCCAAGTTTTATGTATTAGAAACTTGGCCCCCACTGTGACTGTTAAGAGAGTGGGAAATCCTATGATGGTAATTGAAAGGTGGAGCCTTGAAGAGGTGACTGGATTGTAGGACCCTGCAGTAGTGAATGGATTAAACGTGGTGGTCAGGGGCGTGGTCCTGAGGGCTTTAACAGAAGAGAGTCGAGTTTGTCTCTTGCTCTCGGCTCTACCATTTTGCAATGTAATACCTGCCATCACTGAAGCCACCACCAAAGAAAGCCTTCACCAGATGTGTTCCCTGGACTTTGGACTTCCCAGCCTCTGAAACTGTAAGCAGTAAATTTCATTTTCTTATAAATTACCCGGTTCCATGTACTTTGTTATAAGCAACAGAAACAGACTAACGCAGACACTGATCCTATTAAAAGTTCGTGAAGCTGTTTCTGGAGCAGAGGGGCTGGGGCTGAGTCACGAGGACACCGTGAGTGTTTGCCCAGCTCTGATGGGAGCTGCTCACTGGATCCATCTTCCTCTGGGAGAGACGATGGCTAGGCCTTGTCAGGGTGGACAGACGCTGTCGGGACTGAGCTGGGCCACAGGCTGGTGAGTAGACAACTGCCACCACCGTCCATGGAGTCCCCGCTGTGTGCCAGGAATAGTGCAGAAGGCGGTCTTCCCACCGCCTCGTAAGGTACAGGGCACCCCAGCTCAGAGGTCTTCTTCACTGGGGCTTAAGGAGCTGCGATAAATAACACTCCTGCTCCTCTTCCCTGTCCAAGCTCAGAACCGACTGAGAGAGACATAGCTCGAGTCCCACGGATGAAAGTCAAAGGTCTCCCTAAAGCTGACTGGAGACCTGCCTTCGTCTGGCTAACTGGTCGCCCTGATTCAGAGAGACTCCCTGCCGGTCGCTGACCTCGCTGACGGCTGGCTCCTGGGGACAGGCTCAGCTGGCCCTGCTTGGCTCCCTCTTGCAGACGTACCAGGCAGAGTATTTCCTCCTCTTAATTAATCCTACCTGAAGTTTCTTCCCATGGGGACATGGAGCGGGCCTGTGTGTCCTCTGATAGTCTCATTACTAGTCTGCAAATGAGGACCCAGAGGCCCAGAGAAGTAAGAGAATGTGCCCGAATTCTCACAGCTAGTGAGTGGCAGAGCTGGGAAGCAAACTCGTGCAACCCTGTGCTCTTCCACCTTCGTGGAGCTGTGGGAGCCAGAGGGAGGCATCTGGGCCTCGGTCTTGCCATCTGTAGGATGGGGATTTACACTGCACGCTTCTTCCAGCTCTGAGAACGCCAGCTCGGAGAACAGAGGCCCCAACTACAGTCAGACACGGTGACCCTGAGCAGGTTCAGCCTCCACGTACCTCCATGTGTCTGTACGGGGGGCTGACAGTGAGACTCGAACAACCCAGGGTGGACATGGAAAATTTATTTGTTGCCATACAAGATCCTGGACGTCCCGGTTGTACTGGAACCATCTAGATCTTGGCATTTAAGGTAGGTTTTGGTGCTCCCAGCTGGCCATCCACGCTCTTCGACACTGTGAGGCTCCCCAGCACACCTCTTCTGCAGCTGCAGGTTGCCCTGAGCAGAGGGCATTGGTTTGCAGATGCCCCTGGAGTGCACAGATGGCTGGGGCCCCGAGCAGCCTTCTGCACGGGATGTCCTTTGAGAGGCCCCAGCCCCCCCGCTCACCTTGCACCAGCCCTCACCCAGCTAGGGGGCCATGGCCAGTGCCCTCACTGTCCCAGGGCTCCAGGGGGCCGGGCTATGGGGGACCTGGGCCTGAGCCCTGGGCATTCGGGGGAGTCAGCAGAGCCTGTCGGCCTTGGCCATGTCTTCTGGATGCTTCTCTTCCCCTTTCTCCACCAGTTCCTTCTTCCTCCTAGTCTCTCGTCCAGCGTCTGTCTCCATCTCCCCTCTCCCTTCGCTTCGTGTTTTTACTCCCCGCCCCTTCCTCCTACGTTACTGTCTTTTCTGTTCTTTCTAGTTCTCTGTCACGCCCAGCCTACTTGGGCCAGAAAGATTCTCTTGCGCATCTTGAAAACTGATTATTGTTTCATTTCTTTTCTATTCTGCTACACAGTCTTTTTCTTTTCTTTTCTTTCTTTCTTATTTTCTTTTTAAACACAACCCTCCATCTCTAACCAACCAAAGCCAGGCACGGGGAGTGCAGACCAGGCCTGAGTGAGCTCCCCAAGAGCACGAGACAAACGTCGCCTAGCACACGAGCCACAGCTTCTAGAGAAGCCACGCCAAGCACCTGCACCGCCTCCCCAGGAAGGCGCCTTGTGCTCACACAATTCTGAACAACCCTAAGACGGCCTCAGAGTTCTGTTGCGAGGGGAAAAAAAAAACTAAATAAAAATGATGGCTCCCTTAAGAGCACACCATTATGAGCACCAGAATTAACAATGACATTAAATCAAATCTCATGCATTATGCAGAGAGGTTTACAATGAAATGCACATCCGTGAAATATATGTTTCAAATTTTCTGACTCCTAGAGGTGGCCCCTAGGTGTTCTCCTGCAGCTTCTTTGATAACAGTTTCCCTTTTACAGACAATAACTGTGGAATCCTAGCTTAGCACTGTGTGGCCCTGTCACCCTTCCCTTATATCAAAGCACAATTTCCCAATCATTTGTACAGCAAAAGAAAACGATTACAGTGATAATGTGTTGGAAGCACGTTGTTGCATTTCAGTTTAAAACAATGAGACACAATGCTGAAATGAGGACTCCAGGGTGTCTCTATTGACAGGACGCAGAGAATAAATTGTCCAAACATTCACTTCTGCAGAAACGACAGAGATTTTAAGTGACTCCAGAGATTCGGCAGGCTGCCCAGAACTTGGAGCTGACATCCACAATGAATTATTGAATCCTGTCCAGACATACATGTTTTGTAGCACACCAACGAATCAGTGTCTCCTGAAGACAGCCAGGCTGCTATCCCTGGAAGAGCAAAAGTAGGCACCCCACTTCTGGTACCAGCTCAGATTCACAGCTGTGTGACCCTCGGCAAGTCGTTTAGCCCAGCAGGGGAAGCTCAAAGTCAGAAGGCTCTGTTTGGGTTTCTGTCCCACACCGTGGGTATGTGACCTGGCTAAGTTCTTCGAGGTCTTTCTCATTTGTGGGGAGGGGAAGGCAGTATCCACTCTGCAATTCCTGTGTGCTTCAATGCAAATCTCACAATTATAGAGAGGAGTAAAGTACATGTCCTGACCTCAAGGGGCTTGCTGAATAGTTGGAGAGAATACAAGAAAATAAATGCATAAATGAGCATACTTAGGAACTAAAACAGTCGGGCTGGATGGTTAGCTCAGTTAGTTAGAACATGGCCTTGTAATGCCAGGTCAAGGCTTCAGATCCCATAGTGGCCAGCTGCCAAAAAAGAAAGAAAGAAAGAAACTAAAGCAGTACATGCAGATCATAGGGAGGTGCAAGGGGGACGAGAAAGGAGAGAGTCACGGACACCCCTAGGCTGGAGACACAGGCAGCAAAGGGTGAAATTCTTCCCCGGGATGAAGAGGGCATGAGAGGAAGAGTAAGCTCTGCTGCTGCTTTTAGCAAAAAGCTTCTCTTTTTTGTTATAAGAATAATAACTGCTCAAGGGAAAAAATTCAATGACAGAAAGTATAAAAAAGACAATAAAAATCACTTGAAATGTCACCACCCACAGA